GGGGGTGTATATTCATATATTCGTGTTCTGTCCGACTAATTTCTTTTGAAATGTACTTAAAAACAAAGAAATTCAAAAGAAATTCGTCGGGCAGAACACGAATATATGAATATACACCCCCCCCCCCAAATTAACGCTCTAGTTACTCCTCTGCTAATTTTGAACATTATTTCAGGTTCTGTAGTGAACAAAAGTTTCCCGAAACACTTTTTTTCTTGTACGTTCTTCATGACTTGAGTGGACAGCTTCTGTAAACTATAGTCTCACTGATGAATCGTAATCATTTGAAATAATACTCTTCAATATTGTATCGACTTGTTTTTCTCAAATATTGAGTTTCAAAATGAAATTTCAACAAAATTCATGTTCAATTTAAATTCAACAAAATCAACGCTCAATTTGCCATCCAAGACATCTTAATTGACGTAACTAAACCAACTCACTCGGCTTTGAAAAGGTCAAGTGTGACATATACACTATCCAGGCTTACTGTAATGTCCAGGTCAGCAAAAAATTACAAACCTGCAATAATTATATATTTCTGAGGAAAACTCAGAGCAAAACAGAAATTAGCAGATGAAGCAATATTCTAACTAGTCTTGTATTTTCATATTCAAACTTCAAAAGAAATGTCTTCTAAATTTCTTGATAATCAGTTTGATCATCTGATTATCAATTTCCCGTTTGTAAATTTCCAGTTTATAAATACCATTGCCCATTATAAAAAGGGCCAGAGCAGAGCATATTGGAGTGTTAAAATGATATTATTTGGATAATTTGCATTGTATGAAAGATTTGCGATGAATATCGTTACAATATTTATAGCATATTGTAATTCAGTGAATAAAAAGATTGAATATTAATTGAAATATTACTCATTATTTTCTTGAGATTTTTGATTCACAAACAGCGAGTACTGGATCAGTCATTGTTATCATATCACTTCAATTTGCAAATTATTTCATGTGCTTAAATTTAAAGAATGAGCCAAACTGAAAGGCGCGTATTGAAACTACATGATGTGTTTTGTAATAGAACCCTCTGTTAGTAAGTCTAATTCCGAGAATAGATGTCTGGGAGAAGGCACGTTTGTGAGGTCACAAATATGTCCTTCATGTACTTTATAATCTTTGAAATTCTGCAAAATCTCACCCCCAATATGCTTCAAATCTCATCTCAGGGACTCTAGATTTCAAAATTTTCTGGGGGGATGCCCCCGGAACCCCGATAACATGTCTCACGCCTTCAGAGTTCAACATACATATGAAAAATCCTAGACCTGCGCATGGGGAAAAGGCACAATGTCATGCAGGTAGACATGAATCATGGTCCTACGTGCTTTTCCATACACCTCTCAAAACTGAATATCCGTGGTTATGTTATTAAAAATTATGTTTAATATACTGCATAGTGCATACATCTAACAATATTTAACCGTTAAACATTGTTTTGATTTTGAGCATTGTGTGAGTTGTGCTATCAATATGTTGCAATTAGACAGCCGAGGGTGTTTTGTCCGTTAAACGTAAATTGGGAAAGTTTTTTTGACCGATCAAAGTCCTTGTGTAGGAATAAATAGTGTTTTTTTTCCCAACGTGTTTCTCCTTAGATGCAAAAAAAACGGTAGCTTGGTTTTGTATATTTCATTTCCGGTGAATGAACATGGATGCACACCGATTACATTTTGTTTTGTACCTTTCATTTCAGTGAATACACACCCAATATGAATGAAACACGATACATTTTGAGAAAATAGTTAATGGGAAAAAGTAAATAAAACGTTCTTCGATATAAAAATATAAAATGCACTTTCTCATCAGAAAAAATGAAAATCTTCCAGTGGACCAAGTTGTGAAAGCCCCTTAGCTACTTCAATTGGGAAGAGGCTGTCAAACGGACAGTATATGGGCTAGCTAATGCACTAGTCAATGTAAACCCCCGCACCCCCCCCCCGGCCGGGGCATAGCGGGGTATTTGACTTCCGCCTATGTCAAATGTCGTCAAATGCCCAGCAACACAGGGCAATATTTTTATTCTAATAGCATGAAATACCCCGGTCAAAAGCCCCGGCTCCTTTTCAAAAACTTTTGTTTGTACAAAACAAAACATCAAAAAGTACGGGGCACTCAAAGAAAGCATACCTCCGCCAGCGAATTAAGTTATATATCATATATAAATTATACAATTGGCTAATTATGCATTCTGTTTACTCTGCCCAGGAAAGCAGGACAAACATTTTCAAACTAATTTCTTATTCAAATGTCATCCAAATTGAACCAAAATTTAATCAGTTAGTGTTGAGGACATGTGTATTCCTTCAAGACCTTCAACAAACTCCCATTTTCAAACGTACTATTAAAGACAAACTTTAACAAATGCAGTTACTACGGATGGCCTGTTTACGTTTAAAAACTAACAAGGATTCTCGCCTTTTTCTCTTCCACAAAGTCCGCCATTTCATCTATTTAAAAGTACCAACAGCGACAGACAGTTCAAAATGTTCAATGATGGCGACAGACCAAGCGTGAAGCGTGACTCTAGCCTGCAATTGCATGGCAAACTGTCAGCCCGCCGTGCTATACCCTAAAATATGGGCGAGTGACATTTCCGGTCTGTTCTCCGTCAATGGAAAAAGCTCCGGCCCCTTGCCCCGGTGAATGTATGCTGAACAAAAGATGTAAAATACCCCGATATGCACGGACGTTTTCTTTGTCAAATCACAGGAAATTCCCCAGTAATGCCTCGCTGTGTCCCGGCCGGGGGGGTGCGGGGATTTACATTGACTGGTGCATAACACCCTGTTAGACTATTCAAAATTACATGTCTGCAAATTTACATAAAATGTGTAAACAAAGTTTACCCACTTTACCGTCTATTTTAAAACCAAACCAATTAAATAAAATATGTCATATACCACAAAGATAATATTTAGAATGAGTATTAATGCACTGTTATCAATTTACTCAATGATGCTATTAAAATTCTAAGAACAAGGAATACCCTAACTGTACGTTGTTTTGATGTCACATTTGACAGGCGTATTATTCATTTATTCTGTATGATTTCGTATTTGCACACAATAAAACAATTTAACAATGCTGCCAAAATTTAACTAGGGTAACAAATATGATGTGATGTACAGTAATAAAATATAATTGTCCAGAATAAACACACATTAAAGACATGTTCACAGCCTGACATCAATTTGTTTTTTTGAATAATTAATCTAGGTGACTCAACTCTGACAACATCAATGCAGGGAAAGCAAAAGTTTATGTGATATTAAATGAACATTAAACATGAAAAGAACAAAACATATATAATGAAACATACGAGATTTGATGAGATCTTTGAATGAGACGAATTCTTGACGGTCTCTGTTTTGTAAACGCTGAAGTATTTCCACTTTCCAAGGCAATCCCAACGCCATTATCGGCCTCGGTTATTTCGCTTAGGAGACTAGACACCAGTCATAAAAGTAGCTGACTCAGCATTTTCAAATCTTTCTAAAATCTGTTTTTGAGACTTTGAGTATTCTTTGTCTTGTTTGCAGGGCTGCCAACTCTCCCGGATTATCCGGGAGTTTCAAGATTTTGGACCTAATCTCCCAGTCTCCAGATTTTGTCTTAATTCTCCCGGTTTAGGACAATCACCAACGTCGATTTATGCACTAGCCATTTGATTATTCGTTGTCAAAGATGTTAACAATAAAAATTATTTGCGTTGCTCATTAGAACTTCGTTTTGCTGGAAAAATAAAATTATTTCGTTGCTGCCTGCGTTGCTTTTAATCAGCGGTTGAATGGCGCCATTTTCCATAAACACTTCATCTTACAGGGATTTTTTTACCCGTATTGACGCCATTAAAGATGTGGATATTTTATTAAACTAGTACATAATATGTGAACATGGGCGTACCGGGCGGGGGGGGGGG